TCATATGATAAGCCACAAATCTAAGACCCTATTTGTAATCAGTGCTCTGTGACAGATAAAAATGTTCCATCCTACTTTCAGATACTGTATGCCTACAGAATTAAATCAAAGAAATAACTTGATGGAGGCACCTGGCTTGCTCAGTTGTTTAAGCATCCAACTTCAGCTCAGGTCATGATCTCGCAGTCTGTGAGTTCTAGCTCCATGTCGGGCTCTGTGCTGACAGCTCAGAGCCTGGAGCCTGCTGCGGATTCTATGTGTTTTTCTCTCTCTCTGCCCCTCCTCTGTTCATGCTCTCTCTCTCTCTCTCTCTTGAAAATAAATAAACATTAAAAAATTAAAAAAAAGAAATAACTACATGTATTAAAGAGGACAATTTATTTCCATTTTAGAGTACGTGACTGATTATACATTTAGAAAGGGGGCATTACTTCTTTTCAGAGAGGTAGAATTTGATTCTAATTTTTTAAAGTTTATGTATTTTTCAGAGAGAGAGCGAGAGAGCGAGAGAGAGAAAGAATTAGTGGGAGAGGGGCGGAGAGAGAGAGGAGGACAGAGGATCTGAAGCAGGCTCTGTGTTCACAGCAGAGACCCAGATGCAGGGCTTGAATTCATGAACTCTGAGATCGCAACCTGAGCTGAAGTCAGCCCTTAACTAACTAAGCCACCCGGGTGCCCCAAATTTGACTTTAATAAGGAGGTATACAGCAGGGGAAGACTTTGCATTAAAAAATATAATATCAGTTCTGCCATTCTACCTTCTCCTCTTTCAGCTTCCTTCTCTCTTCTATTTCCTTCTCTCCTCTTGTCTCTTCTTCTCTCCTGTGACTTTTCTTACTTTATTGAGTAACTACTGCTTGAAAGGCACTGCATCAAAGAATATTACTGGGTGATCAAAAATAATGAAATCTTGCCATTTGCAACAATGTATCTAGATGGAACTAGAGTGTAAGTGAAATAAGTGTGTCAAAGACAAATATCATATGATTTCATTCATATGTGGAATTTAAGAAACAAAAGAGATGAACATAGGGGAAGGGAAAGAAAAATAAGATAAAAACAGGGAGGGAGGCAAACCATAAGAGACTCTTAACTATAGAGAACAAACTGAGGGTTGCTGGAGGAGAGGTTGGGGGGGGATTGGGCTAAACGGGTGATGGGCATTAAGGAGGGCACTTGTTGGGATAAGCAGTGGGTGTTATACATAAGCGATGAATCACTAAATTCTACCCCTGAAACCAGTACTACACTATATGTTAATTAACTTGAATTTAAATAAATTTAAAAAAAGAAAGAAAATAAATATATGAATATACTTGCTATTTAATTTTCAGTCAATTAGTTTCTGGCATTTTTCTCTATTTGGAACTAAGAAAGATAACTCTTTACTACGACCTTTCTAGAAATAAAAAAGGTCATATAGATAGTATAAACAATTGACAATAGTTAAATAAATACTGATTTTAGGCTTGTCTGCTTTCTGGGTCTCATAATTAAATGATTCATTGCAGTTAGTGCAAAAATAAGTACTATAGGGGCACCTGGGTGGCTCAGTGGGTTGAGTCCCACTCCTGGTTTTGGCTCAGGTCATGATCTCACAGTTCATGAGTGCAACTCCCCCATTGGGCTCTGCGCTGACAGAGCAGAGCCTGCTTGGTATTCCCTCTCTCACTCGTTACCCCTCCCGTGTGTGTGTGTGCTCTCTGTCTCTCTCTCAAATTAAATAAATAGACTTAAAAAAATAAGTACTATATAAACACTGTTCCTTGATAGCATAGTGTGACATGAATACAAAGAAATGATTTTATAAGAAACATCATCGTGTATCTCATTTAAATTCGATTAAGATAAGTAACTGGGAACTAAATTAGCACCATCATTAGAACAGGCTTTGTGATTTCCTTGAATCACATAGCTAATGTCTTTTGAGACCCTCAAAGTACTGTGACAAAGAATCAATTGGGATAAAGCAAATTGATTGCTGCCCAGTCGCCATCAAACATTGGCCAACTGTTCAAAGTGCCACGGTACAGGTCAAGGGAGGAACTATTTTCTTGATGATGTCTTAAACCTAACGGGTGATGAGTTCATTTATTAGATAGCAAAGAAATACTTTTAAAAAATATGAAAGAATAAAAACTCATGATTACTACTTCATTCTCCTTTACACAAAATTATAAAGGAAATTCTCGGGAAATAACCTATAGATGAATGCAAGAGGATAAAAATTACCTTTGAAATTGTAGCAGTCATTACTGAATAGTGCCAGAGGAAATGCACAGGGATCACTTATCAAAGTGATATAAGCCAGGAAAAGTGAGTTGAGTTAATTTCAGTTTGAGGGAGCAGGAACAAGTTTAGATCTATAAATTTTTTATGAAGCAATTTTGTTACACCTGATTTGTATGTAAGTCATGGAAACTGAACTGAGTTTTCTTTCCTATGAAAGCTGGAGGCAAATTTGGCTTAAAGCCTAGAAGAACAGAGTGCTAGAGTGTTCTTTCAGATCTCTCTCTAGAAAGTTGCTTCTGTGTATGTGCTATAGAAACATCATCTTTCTTCTATTATTCTCAGTGGCTAAATGACAAGGGTTATTTATTTATTTATTTTTAGCAGTGATGCTGAATAATTCAAGTTACTTCTGAACTTTGTAATGTCATTTCTGCCAAACATACCTAAATCCACTGAGATTTGTCATTAAGAGTTAAGGATTAAGCTATAAAACTACAAATCATCCATTCCTCAATTCTAATCACTGAGATATTAATAATATATGTGAAAACTGCCTTTTTATATTTGCAGCTCTGAGAGCTTAGCTTACATAGATTTTTATTTTGTGTCTTTTGCAACACCCCCATCACCACCAACAGTAAGAATAGTAACATTTCTGAGCAACTGATACCATTTTTGTTTCTAAAGAGGAAAAAAAAGTGGCACTCATTAGAATTAAAACTGCTAGTTTTAAATTCATGTAGTTTTGGTTCCTACTGTATCAGTGGCATTGCTGGCCACAAAGCCTCCAACCATATCGGTAATTGTCCAATGATAAAACCAAACGACATCAAAGCATATTTACGATTTGCTATTTTGTATGTTTTAATTAAGAAGGCAAGGGTAATTGAAGAGCAACAGAAAAATAGAAATGTAATACTGTTAGGCCTTGTTGGTATAATATTGTTAAGAAAAGCAAGAAATGTGCGTGTTGGAATTTTGTTTTTATTGGATTTCCTAGTGTCTTCAAACATTCCCAGGAATGGTTGGCTGGGCCAGCCCTTCTGAATACATTGATGTCATCACCATAATTTGTGGCACAATTATGACTAAAAAACAGCAGAATTACACTAATTAAAAAAAATGTTTTTGATACAGCAGGGAGAGGGGCAGAAGGCGAAGGAAAGAGAATCTTAAGCAGGCTCCACACCCAGTGGGGGGGCTGACGTGGGCTGGATCTCATGAACTATGAGATCATGACTTGAGTCAGAATCAAGTCAGACACTTAAGAAACTGAGCCACCAAGGTGCCCCTAGAATTACAATAAATAAAGCTCCAAGGGGCGCTTGGGTAGCTCAGTTGGTTAAGGGTCCGACTCTTGATTTCAGCTCAGGTCATGATCTCATGGTTGTGAGATTGAGGCCCATGACGTGCCCACTGGGCGTGGAGCCTGCTTAAGATTCTCTCTCTCCCTCGCCCTCTGCTTCTCTCTCTCAAAAAACAAAACAAAACAAAACTCCAAGAATCAATACCCTAATTCTATTTCTCTAAGACACATATAAAATATACAAGTGGGTTTATATCTTTTATACAACAGAAGAAGGCAGCTTGATATTTTATAAATTGACCGGGAAAAAAACAATTTGTTTCTGAAATAATATCATGGATAATCCAGAAAGTGATTTACTAAACTTTGAAATTTCATTTCATTTCATTTCATTTCATTTCATTTCATTTCATTTCATTTCATTTCATTTCATTTTTAAAAGTATTTTTTACCATTTTTTTTTAATGTTTATTCATTTTGTGAGACAGACACAGAGAGTGAGTGGGGAAGGGACAGAGAGAGGAAGAGGCACAGAATCTGAAGCAGGCTCCAGGCTCTGAGCTGTCAGCACAGAGGCTGACAAGGGGCTCAAACTCATGAGCCACGAGATCATGCCCTGAGCTGAAGTCAGGTGCTTCACCAAACTGAGCCACCCAGGCGCCCCTGAAATTGCATTTTAAAATTTTCGATTTCTGGGGTGCCTGCCTGGCTCAGTCGGTTAGACATCCAGCTCTTGATTTTGGTTCAGGCCGTGATCTCATCGTTGGTAGGATCAAGCCCTGGAGTGCTGTCAGCATAGAGCCTGTGCTCCTCTCTCACTTGCTCTCTGTTTCTCTGTGTCTCAAAATAAATAAATAAACATGAAGAAAAATGCTCAATTCCCTGTATTTTCTTTCTTTCATTGATAAAATACAGCTTTGGTCAGACTGACATGTTTAAGGGGAAACTGCATTAATTTTCTTTTTCAAAAAAGTTCTTCAAGTTTCAAATTTGCTACTTTCTGGCTTTTCTTCCAATCATTTCTCTTTAGTAAAATTAAACTTTAATTAAATCTCTATAAACTTGCGCAAACATGGAATTGCCTGTCAATAATGCTGTTTTTAATTCTCTTTTCTAGTGAATTCCAAGTGGCAAAGTAGCTCCACTTTATCTTATTTGTATTCTTGAGTTATAAAATTTGAGATCTGAAGCTCTAGTCCTTATTTATGTAAAAATTATTCTAGAGGAGGCAGCAGCAGTATGCTAACTGGGTGTTCAGGTTACAGATCTGTCTTCCACTTCCTTTTACCACTTTCACGGCATTAGATATTATAAATGTGGTCCCTGAATTAAAGAAAGGTCACTTGTATTTTCTTTCAACAATATATCTTAGAAATATTTATTTCTGTATTGTGTATCTTTCAGTTGTGAGCACAGTCCTGTGCTGTATATGGTGGCAGAAAACTTCACCTGAAATACCTACCAGCAGGAATCCTGGGGGGCAGAGATCCTCCCCCTGGCACTGGATGCGGGGCCTGGATGCTATTTAAAAACCCTGCCCTCAGGAAGCTGGGGCAAAACGCCTCCACCCCAATGGCCGGGAAGGATCCTTTTAAGAGATAAAAATGGACATTAATCAAAATCTATTTGTGGAAAAGCTGTTGATCATTTAACTGGGGAAAAAAATCCTATCATTAATAAAAACATCAAACCTTACAAGGAAGCTATAAAATTAAAAGGAATGAATGCATTTTTATTCATAATTAAAAAAAAAATCAACTTAGGTTTTGAAAAGAAAGTACTCTTAACTAGTTACAATCCCAAACGATGTACAAGTAGTAGAATGTGAAGATAAAATTTCTAAACCTACATTTGACAAAGCAGATATAAATAAAAGTCACTGAGGTTGTCTATTTGCAGAGTCGTCCACATGAGTGACAGACATGCAGGAGACAGCCACAGCGGGATCTGAGATCAAAGCTGCACTGGAAGAAGCAGTGTTTTGCTTTAGGTCTATCAGCAGTGGTGCTTAAAATGAGGAAAGCTTTTACACCACCCAGCAATTATATATGTTTTTGAAATAGCGGTAAGGAAATCCATATCCACAATTCTTAATTTGTTACACCTTTCTATTAGGGAGAAGACAGAGCTTTCAAAGGTAGAGCCACACGCTTTTTCACTTTTAAGAAGGCTACTGCGAAGCAAAAAAAACCCAACAGGAAACCACTTGGAAGTTTATTCATAAGATTATATCATGAATTGTGAATAAAAGAATGTCAGAGCTGGAAAAGACATCATAGGTCATCCAGTCAAAAAATTCTCATTTATAGACTAGCAAACTAAGGCATGAAAAAGGGAAGTGATGTCACATAGGTGGCAGACTCCTAGGACAAAATCTTCCCAGTGTAGATTAAAAATAAATAATGAGCCATTTCCTATTTGGGAGATTGCTACTCTCTGAATATGAATCAGAAACCCTTCAGTTCGGAATAACAGCATTATAATTTGGTATCTCAATGACCTGAAAGACACTAAAATCATTCAGAAGAAAATTTAATATACATGCACTATCAGTGCATGGGCAGTACTGGTAATTGATATGGTATATCTAAGTTTAATCACAGTAAGTTACACTGATGGTTATAAGGAATGCACATCATTTGGGGCCCCTGAAGTTCCAATCAGGCCCAGCAGTTTTCAAATAAAGAGACCTTGAATCAATCCTCTCAGGCTCAGTTTTAGCAAGTCTTACATTTTTGAAGAGACTTCACTCTGTTCCTTGACACAAATTTCGCACCTAAAATATGTTAAAATTCATAGCCTCTTTGAAATCTGACCAGGATTAAAGGGACCTGGTATAACACATTCTATACAACTTGCTTCTACAGAGAGAGCTGATGCTAAAGAAAAGCCAGGATTTCTTAGATCTTTAGAAATGCTTAGAAAGCGAAGTTACAATGTATATTTTAATGGGTGAGGCCTATTTATTGTGCATTGGAATAAAGAAAGCATGGAAAGAAAATCAAATGCTGTAATTAAGCTGGTTTTGCTGTTGATTTTATGAGGCTTTAGTGGAAAGGTCCAGCAGAGTTTGAATCCCTTAAACATGAAGAGATGTGGCTAAAGTGCCAAGCAGTAGTTCTGAGGGAACTTTTGATGAACAATGAATCTAATTTCTCCTTTGCTATTACATGGGGTGTATATATCATTGAGCACAAATATTTCCTCATGTACAATGTTTCCCATGCAAGGCATTTTCCACGTTGCAATGTTTCAACACTGTCTGAGAAAGTACCCATCACCAGGGAGCATTACTGAATACCAGGTAGAGACAATTATATATTTATACCGTATTCTTAAAGTTACAAAAGAAGTGGTGATTTTACAACAGAGAAAATAATTATAAGAAATTCAGATTTTATTATAGGCGGTAAAAACAGAAATATTCCAATTCTAGCTGATTATGGACTTATTGAAGCCAAGTGATAAGAAGTTTGGTTCAAGAATATGAGATTGTAGGGGCACCTGGGTGGCTCAATTGGTTAAGTTGGTTAATTTCATTCAGCTCAGGTCATGATCTCATGGTTCGTTCAGTTTGAGGCCAGGGCAGAGCCTGCTTGCCATTCTCTCTTTCTCCCTCTCTCTGCCCCTCCCCTGCTTGTGTGCACACTCTCGCTCAAAAGCAAACGAACAAACAAACAAACTTAGAAAAAAGAATACTAGATTGTAAAAAAAAACAAAAAACAAAAAACAAAAGAACATAATCATGCACAGGAAAGGAAAAAGAATATAAATGCAATTATCTCAAAAGAAATTTTGAGAAAAACAAAAGTGTGTAGAGCAGACTTTAAATAATTTTAATATGCTTCAGATTTAGAGATTTTTATCTTTCTTTTTATCATTTTGCCATATTATGTGAAACTGTTAACTTAGAAAAGATGTCCATTATTTTAACTCCTTGAAAGAAACAAAATACAAATATTATTTTAGTGCTATGATTACATTGATTACTATTTCT